CTTGAGGCATTTTTGGCAGCGAATCGCTCTGCGTCGGAGGTTTAAGGGTAGCCATCGACAAACTAACGGAACAAGGGCGGTGGTGACTATGGCTACTATGGACTAGTGCCCGTGAACCGGCGATGGGGATTTCGTCATAGGGTTGTAGTTGGGGGGTACGGTGGCCGGGATGGCCGGGATGGCCGGGATGGGGGTAGGCGAGTACGGGGAGCGGTGTAGGCCTGTTTTTTGTTGGTTTGGTGTCGGGCCGGTTTGGATGGGATGGATGCCTGGTTGGTCAGGCTCCCAGCTGATTCCCGAAACTTCGAAATACAGTCACGTGTGTATTTGGTTTTGAAGAATAACACCTCCCCAATCCTATCTCAACGGTAAAGTAAGAAAATACTCCATAGGAAACGAAAAGACTTACCCATAACCTCCCTTTCCCAATTGATTTTTCCGATACCATTTTCACGTGATACGTTTCACGTGACATTGAAATTAAACCGCCAAGAAATTCAATCCCATTTTAGCGAGGCCATCACGAGAATCTATGCCTGGCGAACCCGAAGCTCCCTCGACGACCTCCCGCAAGCTCTTGACTCCCCCTCCAATTGAACCACCCCCCACACGCCATCATGAACTCCTTCCGCATTGCCCGCGCGGCCCTGCGCGTTCGCGCTCCTGCTATGAAGGCTCCCGTCCTGCGCAGAGGATATGCTGAGGCTGTTTCGGATAAGGTCGGTTGCTTGACGACTTCGGAGGAAGATTTTGGGGAGTGGCATGGGCTAATACGTGTGTGTTGCAGATCAAGTTGAGCTTGAACCTTCCTCACCAGGTATGCGAATCCAGTTTTTTCGATGGGATGGGGGCGATTGAGATGGATGGGAGATGGGTGGTTGTGGATAGCCGTGGGATTGAAACGAACAACACAACGGGGATGGATGGGGCAGCCATTGGATACTAGGAGGAACTGGGAAAGGGATATTGAAGAGATGGCTGACGTGTGTGTGTCTTATAGAAGGTCTACACCTCCCACGACGTCGTCCAGGTCAACATCGCCGCTGAGTCCGGAGAGATGGGTCTCCTCGCCAACCACGTCCCTTCGATCGAGCAGCTCAAGCCTGGATTGATCGAGGTCATTGAGGAGAGCGCTGGCAGCAAGCAGTTTTTCCGTGCGTACTCTCCAACCCTCGCTATACCCCTACTTCAAAAAGCTTTGCTGGCAAATTGCACCTGCCGAGGTCGATATTGGTGTCAGGAGATAATTGTGTCGGGAGATATAAAGGGATAGTAGGCTAATGGGTAACATAGTGTCCGGTGGCTTCGCCGTCATGAACCCCAACTCCGTCCTCAGCATCAACGCCGTCGAGGGTTTCCCCCTTGAGGACTTCAGCATCGAGGCTGTGCGCTCGCAGCTCACTGATGCGCAGAAGGTGGCTAGCGGCAACGGCAACGCGACGGAGATCGCTGAGGCCAACATCGAGATTGAGGTATGCTATACAACCAACTACAAACCTACACCAGGTGGCACAGGCGGGCAATTTGCTGACTAGAGATAAATTAGGTTCTGGAGAGTCTGCAGGCTGCGCTCAAGTAATCCTTCGGATTGCTTGAGATTGTTATAGAGGGCTTTTAGAGATGGTAAAGTTGTATTAAAAACCGTACCGTGTATATCCAAAGAATGTTCGAGATCGCGTCGTGTTATGTGAGCAAGGGTCTGCGTGAATGTCGTCGGTGGTGTGCATGTCGACTTGATGTGCCCCTTTATATTAAATGTGACAACTATGTAAGTGGTTTTCATTACGGCTGTCAGAGTTTATATCATATCGTCGTTATGAAGTAGGCAAGAGCAGCCCGCCACTCGTGCTTTCCCTTTTCTACAACTACAATTCATCCTTGTGGAATAGGCAAAAGCAACCTTCCCGTCGTGCCTTCCCTTTCTACCGCTGCGATAGAATTGGCAAGAGCAGCCCCTCTAGTCGCACTTTCCCTTTCCACTTCCCCGATGACGAAGGCAAGAGCATCCCTCCAGTCGCGCCCTTCCTTTTATACTCCTACGAAGACCCGGTCCATCGCTTTGGGAGTGCCTCCCATTCCCATATCCTCTCCCCTATACCAACTATGGCTACATCGTTATGAGCATAGGTCCATTGTACGCCTTCATTCTTTTAGCCAAGTTCTCTTCTTTACATACTTTATCCCAAGATCATTTTATGTCCAAGGGCTCTGAGAATATCTCTATTACCCATCAACTACCCCAGACCTCTTCACCTCCATACATCATTCAATCTCCTCTAACAACTCTACACTTCACCCAACACCCCTCCCTACAAACAATGACCCCCTCCCACAAAAAACACAAACACACCCACTCCACCTCCTCCGACACACCCCTAGCAGGCGCCTCCATCTCCAGCGCCGCCGCAGAACTATCACGCATCCACTCCCTCGCTCAAGCCCCCGACGTCCCTACAGCAGCAGACCAAGACCTCAACCTCTCCAAACGGCACCGCGACCGATCGCTTGACAGCCACAGCCGCCACCGCCACCGCCACGCCGCGCGCCTAGCTCTCTCCTCCCTCCTCCACGAGAGCGGGACGTCTGGACATTTCGGACTTGGATTGGGGATTCACCGTAGGAATTTCGGGCTGAACTTGGACGTTGATGGGAAGAAAAATGAAGGCGGCGAGCCTAGCGGAGCTCAGGCGGGAACGGAGATGTTGAAGCAGATGGTGAAGGACGTGCCGAGGCAGATTGCTACTGAGGTGCCGAAGCAGATAGGGAGGTATTTGGACGGGAGAGGGGAGGTGAGGGATGAGGTTGCGGTGGGGGTGGGGGTCAAGACGAAAAAAACGGAGGTGGGTGTTAGAGTGGAGGGGGCCAAGGGGTGGTGGAGGGGCAGGAGGGGTGAGGAGTCGGCTCCGCAGGCTGAAGATGCTCCTCCACCGGCGCCAGCTCCTGGGGCAGTTCCTGCTCCTGAGCCGGCACCGACTCCTCAGCAGCCGTTGGCAGTCAATAAATCGGCGACACTGCAACTAGCCAAGCGGTACAGCTGCCACATCTGCCGGTTTATCAACGAAGAAATTGAAAGATGCGCTTCCTGTGGGCATCGTTTGTGCATCGACTGCGAGTGGCTCATGCCCATTGCCAAAACCGATGGAGCGGCCCAAGAGGAATTTGCAATATATGAAGACAGCGACGCTGTGGAGGCTCGGAATATGGAGTTGGAGGATCAAAGGGCTGAAAATGTTTACACCCCGAGCGAGTTCGAGCAAGAGAACTATGTGGATAGTACCCCAGATACTCCGCATTTGCCCCCGAAAGAATGGGCTCGACAAGCTGCTTTGGCGAAGGCGCATTATACAACGCCTCAGTCTCCGACTGATGGCTCGCCTTATTATACAACGACCCAATCACCAACTATCCATTCACCTCCACCATCTCCTGTGGATCTGTCACATCTCAGCGCTAGCGACTATCCCGAGCCTTTGCGGCTGGCATCTTCTCCCGTTAGACCTCCTGGACCGAAGAGTCGCAGGGTTGTGAGGGATAATCCTTTTGTTGTGGCTGATCAGCTGTCAGCTCGTCATAGGCGTGTTATGAGAGTTGATAGTGAGGCGGGGATTAGGAGCCGTGATGGACAGGCTAGTCCGCAGCCGGATCGATATGGTGCTAGGGATATAGCTTTGACACGCAGGGAGGAAGAGCTGGATGCTCAGAGGCGTATGTGGCATGCTAATAGAAACCGTGATGGGCAGGATAATCCGCCGCCAGGTCGAAATTCTGCCAGGACTGCGGCTTCTAGAGACAGGGAGGAAGAGAAGGCTGTTCAGGGGCCTACGTTGTGGCAGACTAATAGGGTTCCCATCCCAGGGTTCGGCGCTGAGCGTGAGAGAGCTCTTCGGACGTCACGGGGTGAGAAGATACCTGCTATTGAAAGGGCGACTAAACCACCTAAAAAATTGGATCCGGTTATGTCGGAGACTTTAACGCCTTCGGGGTCTAAAGCTGGCGGTGGTGGCAATGTTGTGGAGGAGGGGGGGTATCATGCTCAGCCTGTTCCTGATGGGAGTAAAAATGGGGATGAGAAACGGGATGGGTCTGAGAGTTCATCTTCTGGATCGCATAGAGGATGTGAACGTTGCCATTGCTCAAAAGAGGTCCAGAATTCGCAGGGTTGTTGCCCATTGCGTTCAGCTTGCTTCCACCCTCCATACTTCTGTGGCTGTTACCTCCGAACTCAGGTTTGGAATGGTCAGATGGGTTGTCAGATGCAGACTGGCCATGGAGGAGCCCCTTTCTATCCCTCCTATGGCTATAATCCGCCGGTTCATCCGTATCCTACCCCGCGTGGTGGGTGTTGTGGGAATGTCGGCTATGAGCAGGCTCAGGCGGTTGTGTGGGTTCAGGTGCCTTCGTATGGGCCAAAGGGTGGCCCGGGGTGTTGTGGCGGGTGGCATGGAGGAGGGCATGGAGGGTGGAGTGGAAGAAATGGAGGATGTCAAGTTGTAGTAACTGGGGATTCGTGTCAATGTCACTGTGGGAAGGGAAGTCGACGGGATTCTGCACAGGGGGGAAAGGGGGGTTCGGTGGCAGGGGGGAGATTGTGAAGGGTATTGGGTATTTTTATAGTTGAATGGGCAGTCTGGTCCGTAGGAAGAGGGTGAAAGAATGGAAATTTGTTTGCTTGTGGGTGCGATGGGTGTCTTTATATTTGTGAGATTGCTTTTATTATATTTGCTTTGAGATATGCTGTGATTTCCGTGGCTTTAGGGGATGTGGTGGAATTCCTGATATATATTTTCACATTTATATTCAAATATATTATCTCCAATACTTTTACACGTACCAACCTAAAAACCCACGCAAACAACCAAACACCTCCTTCTCACACAAATCCCCACGTCTTCACCAAACACACCACCAAGTTCCTCCTCTTATCACCGAGCCTCACATCTCCGTCGTCGACGTAGATGGTTACGAGACGCGAAATAACCGCACATTCGGAACTCAATACTTCCGGTATAGTGTAGGGGTTAACATAACCCGCTTTCAAAAGAATTTCTTTCTTTAGAGCCGGGTAGCCCCGGGTTCGATTCCCGGTACCGGAATTCAGATGTTGTTTTGCGAGTCCCGTGAGGGATGAGTAAAAGTTTTAATTTTTTTGGTGCTGTAGGTGGGATGAGTTGGTGGATGGTGTGGTGGTGTGGTGTGGTGTGGTGTGATTTGGGGAGAGTTGGGGAAGACTTAGTGGGAGTTGGTGGGTGATGGGAGGTTTTTGGGGGTGGGGGAATGCTTGCTGAAAAAAAGGGCACACACACACTACAATTTTTCAAGAGCGCGTAATTTTGTAGAGTGGAAAAATAAAATTATTTCTATTCTATTACAATCACAAAATAGACCTTGGGATCAATTATGTGTACCTCGCATTCATTTCTGAACTATGCTACTCTCACTATGGCACCCCATATCTCCCTTGGCGGCATCACCTCGACTTTTTCCTCTCGGCCGGCCTCCAGCTTGTCAGCCTTTCCCCCCCACCCCACCAACTCGCAATGCTCGCCACGTATCGACTACATTACAAAGCCCAAAAATAAACGCCAATATCAAAAGAATGAAGAGAGATGAGCAGACAGAGTCCTAGCCAAACTAGCTACCATGACCAAACTATCCACCCCCCCCCTCCCGCAAAGCCCATGCAATATATCCCCTTAGTTTCTCATCCGTAAATCTAAGCCTTGTCGCGCAGATGCTTGGGGATGTACTTCCCAGCGCCGCCGCTGGCCCTCAGTGGCTCAGCAGGAGGCGCGGGAGACCTACTCTCGCGCTCGTTCTCGTTGCGATCGGTGCGGCCGCGGACTGGACCAGTTCCAGAGGCGGTGCGAGCGATAACAGGAGCCTCGCGATCGCGGGACTCAGGCGCGGGAGAGGTGCCGGAGGCGGCTCTCGCGGCCTCCTTGTCACGCCAGCTGGGCTTTGCGCCGGCGAGGGCAAGGCGAGGTGGGCCTGACGGGCGGTCGTTGGAATCTGTGCGGGCGAAGGGAGCGGGAGCGGCGGGAGCGGCGGGGGAGGCGGTGCGTTCAGATGGGACTTCTTGGCCTGCGGCTCTGAGGGCCTCCTTCTCTCTCCAGCCGAGCTTGGCACCGGCGAGTGGGAGAGGTGGGCGGCGGTCGCTTGAGGCGCTACGCTCTGGCTCTGCTGCGCGGACTGGGAGACCACCGGTGGCTCTGGCGCCTGCTCTGCGAGCAAGGGCCTCCTCTTCGCGGCGGGCTTGGAGGGCGGCCTTCTCGAGACCTTCTTGACGCTCCTTGTCACGCTGGGCCTTGAGCTCGGCGAACTCCTGTCTCCTGCGCTCCTCGCGGGCAGACTTCTCGGCGAGCTCAACGGCGGCGCGCTCCTCCTCCTCGCGGAGAATCCTCTCTTGCTCTTCACGCTCACGCTTCTCGCGGATCTTACGCTCCCTGTGCTCCTTGCGGCGCTGGTTGATTTGCTTCTCCAGCTCCTTCTCGGCATCACGGCGGCGCTTCTCGAACTCGTCGTGCCTGCGGGCGACGACGTCGGTCTTGAACTCCTCGTAGATGGGTGTGATTCTTGTCAGTCTCTTCGACAGCTCGAGATCCTCGGCGTGCTTCGCCTCAGCATCCCTAAGGACCTGCGACTTGGTCTTGTCGTACGCCTCGAGATCACGCTTGCGCTGCTCCTCGTAGTCGGCTGGGAGCTTCTTGGCCTCCTCCTTTCTGAATGCACGCTCGATGTGATCGATACGCTTACCGGCGATTCTCAACTTCTCGCTGGTGTCGTTCTTCTCACGCTCAAGCTGGGCAAGCTTCATGGCGCGGAGACGGTTTCCATCAAGGTTGTCCAGGTCCTCGAGATCGATATCGAGAGCCTTGGTACCAATCTTGAGATCGGCAATCTGCTTCTTGAGCTCATCCTTGCGGACACGGTCGAGCTCAGCCTTCATGCGCTTCTCCTCACGCTCCTTCTGCTCCTGGGCAAGACGCTTATCCTCAGCCTCTTGGAGTTGTGCGGCTCTGATCTTCTTCTTTGTGGCATCTTCCTTCTCCTTGCGAGCGATGATCTCGTTAGCAGCCTCCTTTCTCTTGTGGATGATCTCCTTGCGTGCCAAAGTCTCGTGATGTTCTTGCTCGGCGCCGGCCTTAGCCTTTGCTAACGCAATATCGCGAGCCTTGACCCGGGCTTGGTTGTAGGAAGGATCCACATATTGGCAAGTGACGTAAAGAGACTTGGCAAGGCGGGTGAGTTGAGTGCGGACAATTTCTGAAGGAGTGCTTTGGAGGCGTTGGACGGATTGAGATTCAGTCTCGGCAGAGCCAGCAGCAGAGCCGGTGTGGACAGCCTTTGCCGAAGAGAAGACATCGGTATCGAAGCTGAGGACACCAGTGGCGTGATCCAGGCGGATAGCAAGGTCACCCTTCTTGTTTCCGTTCATGATGAACTTCTCGATAGTATCCCTTGAAACATCGAACGGCGCTGGGAAGCGGGCAAGGTTCTCCACGAAATTCACATCGACAGTCTCATAAACCTGGGAAAGTTGCTGGAATAGTCTGGTCAAGATAACCTGCTGGAGAGGAGCAATGTACTTGGCCATCTCCTCGTCTGCGCCAATCTTAGCCAGGATAGGGGAAATCTTCTGGCAGATCGAGAGAGGGTGGAAGTCCACCTCAAGGATGTTGTAAAGCGCGCGGATTTCTGGGCGGGCACGGCTGAGGAGACCCTTGCTCATGGCATCCTTGAACAGGACCGCGCGGGTTGGCGCAGCGGACATGCCAAGGAGGTGTGTCAGGCGAGAGTTCTTGTTGTTCTTTGCTTGGTCAACATCGATCAAGGCTCCGCGGGATCTGGAGGTGCTAATGACAGGGATGGCCAAAGCAGACAACAGAACGAAGGAAGCGGCCTTGGTGAGATCGGCCTCTGAAGCAGCTGGGTTTTCAGACTTCTTGCCCTGTCCTGATGCGACAATAGCAGCAGACTGGCGGAGAAGATTGTAGTATCTGGACCAGGCAGCGGCGTGGAAAAGATAGTTCTCGCCGACCAAAAAGATACGGGTAAGCTTCTCGTAGTAGTTGGCCATCATGATGTTCTTCGGTGGGCGCTTGCTCAGATTAAGAAGAGTGTGGATGTCCTCAACACTGCGGAAAGCCTCTTGCCACAGCTCAAGCTCGACTGCAACATTCAGCTGCTGGAAACGGGTCTCCAAATGGCGCTGGAGGGTGTCTGGGTCGTTCAGGTTGATAGCGTGCATCTGCTGAGCGGAGTACTTGGCAGCAGTCTGGACGTGATTCCTCAGAAGCTCACAGAGTCTGCGGAACTCGGTCTTGCGTGCGTATTTCTGGCAGAAGGCAAATGCCTGCATGGCAGTGCTCTGATACATAATTTCCAGGCGAGCATTGTTGCGGAGGATGTCGAGAACAGTGCGATATGTCTCCCACAGGAACTTCAACCATGGCGTGACGATAGCTCGATCTGTGCGGTCGCGAGATTGCTCGCCGGATACGGTGGACAGGAGAATCGACTCTGGGGTTTCGCTGGCTTCGAGATCATCGACACTGGCGGTTGCCTGAGTGGTCTCGAGGGTGCTCTGGATCTCATCTGCCTTGGCCTGGGCCTCCTGGACCTTGTTCTCCGCGAGTTCGATGAATTTCTTGAGGACAAGCTACAAATTAAAAGTCAGCGCCCAGTCGCCTCCTAACGCGATTTCATCCTCCACAATATGCTGAGCCTTACCTCGATGGTTCCGACGTTGGTGTTCTGGCTGATATTCTTGTACTGGTAAAGCGCGTCCTTTGCGAGTTTTCCCTTCTTCTGTTCCACGGACTGCTCCACCAACAGGAGCATCACCGGCTCCAGCGACGCGATCGGGACATTTCTGGATCGTTTTGAAGTAATATGCTCATGGAGCAGGACTAGGGCGGCTGGAGACTGTCCAACCCCCATGAGCTCTCCGGCCCTCTTGAGAACATTCTCCGGCTTCTGGTGCGGCGGAGGTGGCATGCTGGGCAAGTTCGTGTTGATCGAAACTTGTGTGAAGGGTGACCCAGAGGCTGATGGCTTCGTCGAGAATCGTCGCGCTACTTGAATTTTTGCGAGGAGTGGTGTTGGTTGTGTGAATCGGGCCCGTGAGTCGCTTACGGCGACGCTAAACCACAATAGGACCTAGACTCTTTCCATTACCCCTTCGAAACACATTGGCGGCGGCGTGACTTCTAGGACGCAGAAACATCCAATTTACGGGCAAGGTACTCTTCTCTACCGTGAGATTGCAAAGCTCCCATGCTCTTCAGCACCAGCTCAACGCCTCAACTCCGAACATCATAAGAGCTTCTCTCAATTAATTATTCCGACGAAGAGTGACTGACCTCCTCTATTTGACATTCACATCGTCCTCCTTCAATCGAGCTATCGCCAACATGGGCTACGCATCTCGCGACGCGGCGGATCCGAGCCAAATCAAGAAGAACAAGCAGTCAATGGCAGACCTCAAGCTACGCCGCCTCACCGAATTGAACAATCGTTTACGAGAGGACCTTGAGCGCGAGCGCATTCCAGTCTCTCAAGCCGCGAGGAGGTATGCATTGCTCACTCACCCCCTTCCCGACCGATCATCCCACTAACCTGCTCAGCATCATCGCCTACACTAATACGACACGCGATTTCATGGTTCCATCCGTTTGGGGACCTGTCGACAAGAAGGACGATCCATACACGCCACAACCGACCGGAGGGTGCTGCGTGGTGATGTGAGGAGGGGAATACGAATAATGGGGGCGTTTTGGCCTGGCGTCATGAATTTAGCTGCTCGATAATCTGGAGAAAACAAAGGAAACACAGAAGGGGAAGACGAGCGAGCGAGCGAGCATGGGATACCCGAAAGGATACTGCACACCGACAAACAAAGATTTCATATTACAACGACGGGGATGGGCCCGAGGACAATTTCTCGTGGCGGACGGCGTCCATCTTGCCACCACACTTACGATTATGGCTCTTTTTTTTACGTCGCTTTCTTGTAACTATATAGGGTGGGAAAACCAATTGATTTAAGTTATTGGCTACATATCTCCTGATGGATTGAGTTCGTGATGACTGT